TTGGATGTCTTTTATTACCTGGAAAAATTGGCGCTTTATATAAGGGTTGGATGTCTTTTACTGTCTTGTAAAATTGGCGCTTAATATATGGATTGGATGTCTTTTACTGTCCGGTACTGTAGTAAGACTAATGAAATATTTAGATAGAATAAAGTCACAAGCTAGCCTATACAATACTCTCATTATAGTGAATTTACTTGTCGTAATAAGCACCACGCATTTACATATATAACTAGCACTCGTTATAGTCTGCTGGTAATTAAATATTTAAATAGAATAAAGTCCCAAGCCAGCCTATAAAATACTTCGGTATAGTGAATTACTTATAAAACCTTACCTAGATAAAATTTTTATTTACATATTTAAATTTAATTTAGATCGATGATATAACTTTGTTGAATTTTTAAATTACTACCGTAATTTAAAAATTCAATAACCAAAATATGATCATAAGGTTAACAATTTAAAACTATTTAATAAATTATGTAACTCATAAGCTTATTAGTATCATCTTGCCTAGATTAGAGATACTCTAAAGTCATTTACCGGCGAAATAATTTAATATATGAAAAATTTTTGAATACACCTGTGAAACTATAGTATTAGGACCTTTAATAAGTATAGGAGAACTTGAGTTCTATTCAGTAAGTTGAGAGCTAGCTTAAAAAGTAACTACAAATGTATGATGGTAACTTTATTAACATAAAACAATACTGGTATGATAATAATAAGAGAAAAAAAAATACCGGATGCTTATTTCTAAAATAATGCACAACACAGTCAACTAATAAAGATATAATATCCACCCTATAATCATTTGAATTATTTATGACTTCTAACGGCCTTACTACAATACAAATATTACTTCGCAAAAACTTAATATAGTAAAGGTTATAATATTTTAGGCTAATGATAATTTAATCGTAATCAGTGTTGGAAACCTAATGTTCTCAAGAACATAATGCAGGTATTTAAAAATTATGTTCTCATTGAGAACATAATTTTTATTTTGAATTACTATCTGGTATTTAAGATCATTAAATTTTTTTTTTTTTTGAGAACTAAAAGTAAAAATTTAAAGTTCTTAAAATCAAAAAAAAATTAAGGTTTCCTTTAATATACGGTAAATAATTGAAACAAACCTGTATTTGGAATTCAGATTCGCTTATGCGAATATTTAAATCTCTTACTAACGAACAAAGTAATCTTAGTTGGTTTTTCGCCTTATTGATATAATGGGCAAAACCCTACAAAGTACCGTAATGATGTGGTTAATTTTAAATAAGAAAGTAATTTTTGAATAAAAAATAATACCTTTTCATCCAAGTCATTTCCTAGGAGTTGCATTTTATAATAGGCGAAAAAAAAAGGATTTTAAAAATAATAGGAAAAAGGTAAAATATAAGATAAAGTAACTTTATATTACCATACTTTAAGTAAGCTTTAGCCAAACGTTGCATTGATTTTAGATAAACGAATTATTATTGGAATATCACCCGTTTAAATTCAAATGGAATCCTGAAATAGTTGCTTTATCAAGTTGTGTTAGTTGCACGCATTGGATTTTGTAGATATTATTTTGGTAATTTAGATGACTACGAATATGGATGTTGATTGCTAAATTCTTGGGGACTTCATTCAATAATATGATTAAGTTATAGTGAAATGTTACTAGTACAATAAAAATAATTAAACTGTTACATATTTCAAAATTGCTCTCGTTATATTCTGCTTTAATACTAGCTGGTGAACCAGCGTTTAAATTTAGATTTCATATTTCCAATCTACATCCTTATCTAACAATATAACTAAAAAAAATCTAATTTTTTTTTTCTTGAGTAGAAAATGTAAGTCTAATTATCATTAGAAATATCAATAATTTCTAATTCCCCATCATCATTTTCTTTATCTGAATCCTCTTGACCTTCTAACTCATTCGAAATGCCACAGGTTTTGAAAGATTTGGCAACAATCTCATTAGAGATTTCTTCCCATGAGTTTTTAACCCACAAACATACATCACTTAGCTTAGCGCGGCAAAGGTTTCCTTTTTTAGTTTTACCAGCACCACCCCTGGACATCCAAAGATGCCATTCCTTGCGAAGGTTATCCTTAAAAGGTTTATTGATTGCGACGTCTAGTGGTTGACATACGCTAGTTAATCCACCTGGAATTACTGCTAAATCAATTCCATTATCTTTAAATTTCCCTTTAATAGATTCATCCAAATATCCTTTAAAAGAATCATAGACCATCATCATTGGGGCCCCAGCTCTGTTAATCTTTATATCTTTAAGATAATTAACATAATGATCCATTAGATCAGAATCCATCCATCCATTATCTTGAAACCAAACAATTATACCAGAAGGAATTTTTTCCCTCTTTGGTAATTGTTTCCCTTTAAATATACAAATAGGTGGAAATTTCGTTCCATCTTAATTGTTATAAAAAAAAAAAAAGATTCATGATTAAAAAAAAAATAAGAAAAATAAAAAAAAAGATTATACCGGTAAATCTGCTTTTTTACTAGTTCTAATATAGAACTAATCAAACCAAATAAAGCTTAATGGTTTTACAGAATCTTTTTTTAATAACTTACCTGCAGCACATGTCAAGACAACTGTAAATCTGTTTTTTTCATTGCCTGTATTACGTATTTGGACTGTTTTCGCTCCTTTTTGTTCAACTGTAAAGTTCCCTGCCATATCAAACCAAACAGGAGTTTCATCCATGTTAAGAATATTGCATAGCTCAAAAGATTTCTCAATTCTAAGTTCGGTAACAAACTTATGAAAGTTGCTTAGTGTCACGTAGTTTCTAAGACTACCGTGTATTCGTGGGTCTTTACTATCAAACTTCACTCGCTTGGCTAATGTGCGATGACTGGAGTATCGTACCAGATACTGCCACCT